CTTGGATGAGAAGTGAAACGTCTTCAAAGAAAAACAAGAAAGTCAAGTTGCCTCTTGAAAAAGCACCTTTGGGACAACCATGACCTGGATGACTGAAAATCTCCATAGACACAAAGATAGTTTTTTCCCCCTTACTCTGCTAAACACATAATTCCTACAGCACTGTATTATGCCTAAGGATATTTAATCATATTAGTATCTTATGACTATCACTTGTTTGTGGTATCTTATGATTTACGATTGATCTTATGATTTGTTTTATCACTTTGTTGCTTGTATATATACTGAGAGCTTATGCACTGGAGACAAATTTCTTGTGTGACCAATCACACTTGGCCAATAAGGAATTATCTGTTCTGTTCTGTTCTGTTCCCTTTGGTGAGTAAGATCACTGGGGTGGGGGGTAAGGAGGGCAAACAGCAAGATCTCTAAAACTCTTCTTTCTACTGAAGATTTCATCTCAGTTAATTTAGTAGCTAAATAAATAATAATTTATTATTAATATATTAGGAGTGTGATGCACTTTTGCCTGAGAATTTTGTGTTTCTTCTTTTGATTCCCATTAGATCTTTCTCCTATCTCATTGTTAGCTTGTTCCTTTACACAGGACTGGGCTTCTGCTGAAGGTTTTTCACCTTTATGCTTCCAGCTACTAGCTTTGCTTTGACCACCTTGCCTGCTGATTTCTGTCACCAGCCAACAAATTGCTTTTCTTGCTTTTCTTTCTCTTTAGGTGGGAGAGTTAAAATAAATGCATGCACCCTCTCTAATCTGCTCTTCTCTGAACTTTTCCAAAGTAGCCACTGGGTGCTATCTTGCTTGGTTGCTGCATGCCATTTTTCCATATACTTAACTACTATCAGATCAAACTGGTTTTTCATGAACACAGCAGGAGCCCCTGTGAAGCCTCCTGCAAAACATCCTTGTCTCCAAATGGCCCATTTGCCTGCTTCCCACAGATTCTTAAATTTTTCCTTCAGATCACTTAACTGTAGGATCTCTGTCCTTGCCCAGAGTTGGAGGGTTCTTCTGGCTGATCTTCTGTTTGTTCTCCTTTCCTGTGTTGGTTATTGTGGTCCTTGGATTCATGTACTGGTAGTCCTCGACAGTTCATTTAGTGACAGTTCAACATTATAACGGCATTGAAAAAAGTGACTTGTGACCTTTTTTTACACTTACAATCTTCGTAGCAGCCCCATGCTCATGTGATCAAAATTCAGATGCTAGGCAACTGGTTCATATTTATGCCTGTTGCTGTGTCACAAGGTCATGTTGACAAGCAAAATCAATGGGGAAGCCAATTTCATTTAACCACTGTGTTACTAACTCATCAACTGCAGTGATTCACTTAACAACTATGGCAAGAAAGGTTGTAAAATGGGGCAAAACTCACTTAACAAATGTCTCACTTAACAACAGAAATATTGGGCTCAAATGTCATAAGTCAAGAACTACCTATATTGGCCTGTTTTTCTCCAGAATGGGGAGAAACAACTGTTTATGATCCCTTAAATTTTCATACACTCCGTCACTTTTGCAATCTTCAGAGACACAAGTGAGGACACTAGCCCATGTTCAGCCTTGGGCCACAGCAGATTTACTTCTTTATTTGGGAAACATTCATTCACCTATCACAGTCTGCCTGAGCATCATTACATGTTTTCTTCCATGCCTGCTATCACTTTAGGCAACTTCATTCAATAATGAAATGTGGGGGGGGGTCCCCCTTGTAGAGATGTGCCCACCAGGTTTCCGCACATTCCATCAGCTAAGGGCCCAGGGTAGGGGTGGGAGGTGGTGGTCGTTATAAAGGAAGGTTTTGATCCGAGGGAGGTCACTGTACCTCAGATAGCCGGATGTGAGTCTCTCCTGGTGAAGTGGGGCCATGGGATGCAGGTGGGCCTGCTGATTGCGTACCTGGCTCCCTGCCACGTGACAGCGGCCCTGCCCGAGCTTCTCAATGTTATTGCCGGGGTGGCGGTTGATACTCCCAGACTTTTGGTCATGGGGGATTTCAACCTGCCATCTGCCGGTGAGGCGTCTGGGATGGCTCGGGAGTTTATGGCTTCCATGACAGCCATGGACCTGACACAACTAATTCTTGGCCCTACTCACACGGGAGGACACACTCTGGACTTGGTTTTTATCTCTGGTCAGTGGCTGAGTGGTCTGGATATAGGGGATATAGTTATTGAACCCTTGTCGTGGTTGGATCATTCTCTCCTGAGGCTGGACTTTTTGACCACTGCACCCCACTGCAGGGAGGTGGAACCGACCAGGTGGTTCCACCCCAGGCACCTGATGGATCCTGATAGGTTCCAGAGGGAGCTTGGGCCAGTTCCTGAAACTCTGGCTCATGACTCGGCTGAAGACCTGGTGGCTGCCTGGGATAGGACGGCCGCTAGTGCTCTGGACTGAGTCGTGCCTTTGCAGCCTCTGACCCAACGCCGAACCTGCCCGGCCCCTTGGTTCTCCGAGGAGCTGAGGGAGATGAAGTGCCGGAAAAGACGCCTAGAGAGTGGTTGGAGGGCTAGTTGCTCCGAATCCAACCGAACACTACTTAGGTCTCATATTAAGACCTATCTAGTGGCGATAAAAGCAGCAAAGTGTAATTACTTTTCCGCTCTTATTTCATCGGCAGATAACCGCCCAGCCACCTTGTTTAGGGTGATTTGCTCCCTCCTACATCAGGGAGTGTAGGAAGACCCCTTGCAAGGGCAGGCTGAGGATTTTGCACAGTATCTGCACGATAAAATCGCTCAGATTCGGGAAGGCTTGGACTCTGACTGGGTAGATCCCAGCGTGGTGACTGAGGCTGGTCTTGAGAATGTTATCTGGGATGAGTTCGACCCTGTGACTCCTGAGGACGTGGACAGGATCCTGGGGAGGTTAAACGCAACCACATGTTTATTGGACCCATGCCCCTCCTGGCTGGTACTGGCCACCCGGCAGGTAACACGAGGCTGGCTCCAGAGGATTATAAATGCTTCTTTGAGAGAGGGTATCTTGCCTCCCACCTTGAAAGAGGCTGTGGTGAGGCCCCTCCTCAAGAAGCCTTCTCTGGACCCGGCTGTTCTGGCAAACTACCATCCGGTCTCCAACCTTTGCTTCGTTGCGAAGGTTGTGGAGAGTGTGGTTGCGCGACAGCTCCCACAGTACCTGGATGAAACTGTCTATCTAGATCCGTGCCAGTCCGGCTTCAGGCCTGGGTACAGCACGGAGACGGCATTGGTCGCATTGGTGGATGATCTCTGGAGGGCTCGGGACAGGGGTTGTTCCTCTGTTCTGGTCCTGTTAGACCTCTTAGCGACTTTTGATACCATCGACCATGGTATCATGCTGCGCCAGCTGGGGGTATTGGGGGTGGGAGGCACCGTGTTGCGATGGTTCTCCTCCTATCTCTCTGACCGGTCGCAGTCCGTGTTGGCAGCGGGGCAGAGGTCGACCTCAAGGTGCCTTGCTTGCGGGGTGCCACAAGGGTCGGTCCTCTCACCGCTCCTGTTTAACATTTATGTGAAGCCACTGGGTGAGATCATCCGTGGTTTTGGGGTGCAATGCCATCTGTATGCTGATGACACTCAGCTGTACATCTCCACCCCAGACCACCCCAATGATGCCCTCGAAGTGATGTCCCAGTGTCTGGAGGCCGTGCGGGTCTGGATGGGGAGGAACAGGCTTCGACTCAACCCTTCCAAGACCCAGTGGTGCCATCGCTGGCTATTGGGGGCGAGTCACTGACCCCCACAGAGAGGGCTCGCAACTTGGGTGTCCTCCTGGACACACTGCTGTCTTTAGAAGAGCATATGGCGGCCGTGGCTAGGGGGGCTTTTTATCAGGTCCGCCTGATACGCCAGATGCGCCCCTTTCTGATCGGGACTCCTGGTGCACAGTCACTCATGTCCTCGTCACGTCACGCCTGGACTACTGCAACACTCTCTAATTGGGGCTCCCCTTGAGGAGCATCCGGAGGCTCCAGCTGGTGCAGAATGCGGCCGCGCATGTGATTATGGGAGCGACGTGGCACTCCCATGTAACACCTCTCCTGCGCGAGCTGCATTGGCTCCCAATGGTCTTCCGGGTGTGCTTTAAGATATAAGTTCTCATCTTTAAAGCGCTCCATGGCTTAGGGCCAGGATATTTGTGAGACCGCCTGCTGCTACCGATAACCTCCCACCGGCCAATACGCTTTCACGGAGAGGGCCTCCTCAGGGTGCCGTCGGTCAGGCAATGTCGGCTGGCAGCCCCCAGGGGGAGAGCCTTCTCTGTGGGGGCACCCGCCCTGTGGAACGAGCTGCCTCCTGGAATACAACTGATCCCGGACCTCTGTACCTTCCGTAAGGCCCTGAAGACTTATTTATTCCACCAAGCCGGCCTAGCCTAAATGGTTCTTAATTGGGATTTTAAATTTTATAGACTTGGGGGTTTTAAATTGGGAAGCCAATGATTTAATTCTTTTTAATTATCTTAACTTTTGTATTGTATGTATTTTTAATTTTGGCTGTTCACCGCCCTGAGTCCCTTCTGGGAGAAGGGTGGTATACAAATTAAATAAATAAATAAATAAGACAATAGGAAAAAAGGGAGTTTGAACACAGCCTCGGGATCAATGTCCTTTGACACAGAAAGATCACATTCACTGCTCCAAAGCCAAGTTCTCTCTTGCTTTCTAGACACTTTTGGTCATTCCTCAGTTGAACTTGCAGAGGGACAAAGATGAATGAGGATAGGAATGGAAAGACACATCCAGACACATTCAACAAAACTCCCTAGCCAAAATATCTTTTTAGACACAGACTGTTGCCTTACACATACACCTTAATGGTGCCCTTATGTGGCAGTGGGAAGGGACATGGGATCAATCTCACAATGCTCTCCCTATAATGACACCCCAGCTGTTGTCACAGGTCGCAACTCAAAAATTGTAAATCCCATCAGTTTCTGTGGAATCATATGCAGGACCCAAAAACCAATTATCAAGACTTGCTGCAGTAATTATTTAATAGCACACACTGGAGGAATAAAGGCATGGATTCCTAGGAACAAAAGGATACACTCATTTAAACATTTCAGAAAGAAGAAAATGATGTAATCATTTATATGCATAGGTAATAGATGATGTAAGCATATACATTCATAATTAGCACACCTCAAGTTACTTCCCTGTCCTTCTACTGTTAACTGTCCTCAAGAAAGAATTCTTGTCTTAATAGAAAGAGACATATCAGTTACATTATCGTGGAAAGGTGGATAAATGTTCTTAAGAACCAGGAATACCAAGGTTGCCTTCTTTTCTGTGCCACATTCCTCCTATTCACTGGTAGCCTGGAAGAAGGTGGTTTCTTGGCTGGGACTTTCTGCATTGGGAGTGCTGCTCTCAAGAGGCAGGGAATGGAGGTGACTTGAGAGCATTTCATAGACCTCAGCCAGCATAGTTGCAGATGTGCTTACCAGCTCTGTGGTGGCCATGTTTGACATCTGCCCTATGCTGCCTTGGGGACTGCTGGTGGGTTCTTCTTTGACCGTGGAAGTGCCAGGAGGTCTGAAGCCAGCTGAGAGTTTTCTTGCAGGGATGGAATGTGCATAGCCCTGGGTGGGTGGTGGGCTCAGAGCTGTGGAGGCAGACCAAGGTTGAGCACTGCTGGCCTCAGCAAAGCTTAGGCTGTCTGTTGTTCTGCTTATATCATCTGGGGCATTGATAGCCTGGAAGAAGGTGGTTTCTGGGCTGGGATTTTTTCCATTGGGAGTACTGCTCTCAAGAGGTAGGGAGTGGAGCTGACCTAAGAGCATTTCATAGGTATCAGCCATTATAGCTGCAGATGTGCTCACTTCGGAAACCATTTTCATGGTAGCCGGGTGTGACATCTGCCCTGTTGGGTCTTGGGGACCGAGAAAGTAGGCACTGGTGGATCCTTTTTTGATCATGGAAGTGCCAGGAGGTCTGAAGCCAGATGAGTGTTTTCTTGTGGGGATGCTGCGGCTGTGGATGGAACGTGCATAGCCCTGGGTGGGCAGAGGGCTTGGAGCTATGGATGTGGCCCCAGGAGGGGCAATGCTGGCCTCAGCAAAGCTCAGGTTGTCTGTTGATCTGCTTTCGCCGGCTGGGGTGCTGGTATCCTGGAAGAAGGTGGTATCTTGGCTGGGACTTTCTGCATTGGGAGTACTGCTCTCGAGAGGTAGTGAGTGGAGCTGACCTGAGAGCATTTCATAGGTATCAGCCATTATAGCTGCAGATGTGCTCACTTCAGAAACCAGCTCCGTGGTAGCCATGGGTGATATCCACCCACTTGGAAGCCTTGCTTCAGGTTCCAGGGAGGTGTTTGACTCTGATTCCAGGGGAGAAGAGTCAGTCAGGTCCTGTGTGCCTCCGGGTACTTCGGGGCTGGTGAAGGTCACTTGACTTCCTGTGTGCTCTGAAACTGTGAAATATCAGTTTTTAATTCTTATATTTAATTAAATTATTACATTGATTAATTATGTGGTAACATTTTTATCCAGTGAATTCGTCTAGCCTATTATCTTTTATTAATTTTTATTAATCATTTCATGTCAATCCTACTTCTCTATTATCCTTTGAAGAAAATATTTTTCTCCTTTACATTTTTCATTTGTTTTGGATTAAGCAAGGAGTTTCTGCTCCTTTTATGAAAAGGTTTTTGTAGAAGTTGTTGCTGCCCTGCTTTTGGACTTTTCTGTGATATAAGAAGCATATTGTTCTTCTGATTTATCTGAGAGATTTGGGAACAGGACAAACAGCTTCAAATGGTGTTGCTTGGAGATAGTTATTTCTCACAAAATAAGTCATTATATTGTATCCCCCAAGGCTCCATTCAGTACCTACATGGAATAGTTGGGAGGGATCACCAGGAGGCATGGAATTAGTTAGTATTAGTATGTTGATAATACCAAATATCTTTCTATGAAATTTGACTGGAAATCTCCAGTCTTGCATATAGAGATAGTCCTCGAGTTACGACCATTTGTTCAGCAACTTTTCAAAGTGACAGTATAGCTGCATGAATGGTACTTTGGCCTGGTCCCTGAAGTTGCGACTGCTGTATGATCAAAATCTGGGTGCTGGATAGCCTGCCCACACAATCACAGGGTCACTTCAACTCCATCCACCTGCCTATCTCCCTACATCTCTGCCATTCTGAGCACCTGCATTCTGCTGCCCTGCACTCCACTGCCTCAGTTGACCTTTGCCATCTTCTTGCTCCTGCTGCCAACCAAGCGCATCCAGGCAGATGCTGGCTGCATGAGGTCTTCTTCTTCATGAGGTCACATATGGCAGTTTCCTCACAAGATTTCAGGAAAAAGAACTTGCATGGCCAGCATCTGCCTTGTTGTGGGAGCAAGAAGATAGCGGAGGTTGGCTAGGACAATAGAGCAGAGGGTGACAAGGGCCTTGGAGTGCAAGGCAGTGAAGATGGCTAGGACTTCATGCCATACCATGCTGCTGGGCTGAGCTGTGCTAGCTGCAGCTTCCTAGGACCATTGTGGTTTCATGCTGCAGGACTGGGTGAGGATGGAGGAGCTGTGGCTTCATGCTATACTGTAGTTCAGGAGATTCTTGCAGTCCCAGAGCCATGGCATATCAAGAAGCCACTGAGTTACAGCGTGGTAAGCAGCACAGTTGGGGGAAGTTGGAATCTCTTATCTTGGAAGAATCAAGGCTCAGGGCTGAGAGGGACTAAAGCGGAAATGGCTTGGATGGGGTGGATCATCAGCTAATTATAGATGAGTTTCAGTCAACAGTGGCAACAGGGATTTTCTGGGATTGCCACAGTTTAACAATTGCATCTCCTGGTGAAGGAAATTCTAGCCTCAATTGCTATTGTAACTTGAGGACTATCTGTAATAATATGTTCCCCACAATAACATAACATATTGTGGGGAAAACAGAGGTGCTCTTGTGGAAAAATAGGAGCAGGAAGAAATATTAGGTATGTTTGCTGCCTTGTGTAACTTATAAAATAATAAAGGCAGGATAAAAATCTATTGAAAACAGTAATGAAGCAAATAGAATTAAAATTAGAAATTAATACCAACTGTTTAAAAAAGAGCTTTTAAAAGCTGATAAATATATTAAGCTGTCTAATAATTCTGGGAAGGGAATTTTCAGTCTCATTAACTGAAATGGAAACAAAAAGAAGGCTGGATTATTGAATGAATTAATTAATTAATTAATGAATTAATGAATACACCTCAACTTGCCATTAGGAAAGGAAGGCCAAGGAAATCAAATGACAGGAGGTTCATATAGAAAAAAGTGTTCACTCAGATAGACTCAACTTTGGTCATGTAGACCTTTAAATGTAATTGGCAGCCTACATATACCTGTCAACTGAAGTTTCTGGAGCAGACACAAAAGCTGAAAACAGAAAAACTTTCATCTTCCCTCCCCAGTTATAACAGAATAACAGAATAAAGGAGTTGGAAGGGACCTTGGAGGTCTTCTAGTCCAACCCCCTGCTCAGACAGAAAATCCTATACCATTTCAGACAAGTGTTGTCCAACCTCTTCTTTAAAACTTCTGATGTTGGTGCATTCACAACTTCTTGAAGCAAGTTGTTTCACTGATTAATTTTTCTAACTGTTGTAAGCATCAAGGCTTATGTTAAAATGCTACATTGGTTTTTGAACAGGCAAGACTTGAAGAAAAAGACTATAAATACAAAACTGCATTCCTCAAGCTTTTTAAATATATTTATTTCATTGTAGATGGAATAATAATCTTAGACTGTTAGAGCTGTGCAAACCATTTGGAAAGTTGTTTTACTCACCTCACAAAGCTTCCCTCTAAATGGTTGCGCAGCCCTAGTATTAAAATTACAGACACTGTACTGTGTGATCAAATTAAAGAGCATAGCGCTATATTCTGTTTTTTAATGCTGTTTTAAGAAATATTTTCTTTGCCAATGTAAGCAATGAGATTCTTGACATTATTCAAAAAAGTCACCATCTCTCATTTTAAAAGTTAAATATGATGTAGACATATTTGAAAAGCGAACTTTTACCAGTAAACAGTATGAGTTGAGTATACTTGTTATCCATTCTTATTTTTCTAGAGGGCTGAAAGTAAAATAATTAAGGCAAAACCCAAATAAAAAAGGCTGATGCAGTTATTTTATAACTCTACTTGAGATGTTTTCCTGATACCATGAAAGACTACCACATCTGTGTATAATTTTAATAATAAAAAAGTAAAAATAAGTTGCCAACCCTACAACTCTTACATACAAGAATAATTAGATTTAACATTAGAAGTGAAAGAGTAGGTGGGCACCCAAAAGAAGACTAAAATAGCTTCTAAATCTACTAAACTGTCTACTTCAAATTACATATTAAACTTTGTGAGACAATTTTTTTTTAAGCTTAAGAAAGTCTTGACTTACCCAGCAAAATGTAAAGGATAAGTTTCCAAAAATACCTCCATGGTTCCATAATTCTGTTGGAGTTCTTTTCAGTACCTGTTTCACTGGTGAGAGTGCCCTGATACTGCTCCTGTTATAAAGTGTGATGCTGTATTGCCGTGTTTCCACCAAAAGTAATTTCTCATGGTATCAGCCACAAAATATACTTTTATGAACAAAAGATAATCTAATCTTCAAACAAAATGCAGACAAAGAGAGATGTACATAAACACACACGCTGAATGACTTTATAATATCAGGGATTTTCTTGTTTAATAATAAACAAGAAAAGAAAACATCAAAGTAAGTGATGCAGTGAATGTCCTTTCAGGGTTCTTGGAGTCTGTGGGAGCCTGGACAACAGGTTTAAACAAAGTGATAAAATGGAATGGCTATGGATAGGAGATTCCTTTGTATCTGGGGGTTTACCACCTTTGGCTTTGGATGAGGTTGTACTGCCCCAGATGGACCTGCTGGATGATTTGCCAATTAGCATGGAAATCTAAGACAGTGGTGGAATTCAATTTTTTTTACTACCGGTTCTTTTAGGCATGGCTTGGTGGGCATGGTGTGGCTTTGTGGGTGTGGCTTTGTGGGCATCTCAGGGGAAGGATACTTCAAAATCCCCATTCCCTTCCCACTCGTGGGGGAAGGATATTGCAAAATCTCCATTCCCACCTGACAGAACCTGCTGAATTTCATCCCTGATCTAAGAGTATGATACAACCTTGGGGCGGCCTGGGGCTTGAGGGTACTCCTGCTGCCTTGTTAACCTTTTAGCCTAGTAGTTTTAGGTTTGAACTTAGTATACACGTTGGGTAACCTCTCATGACTGAGATTGTTTTCTGTTGCTGTCCAATAGCTTTCTCCAGTCTGGTGGCTTCTAAAGATGTTTTCAAGTTAACTCCCATTATCCTATTGGCTGGAGTTGATGAAAATTATAGTCTAAGGAGTCATATGCTCAATATTAATGTGTCCTGTTACTAAGTTTTTTGGCTGTATACATCAAAGCAAAATGAAATCAATCTAAAAGATGACATTTCACATTAGTGTAAATCAGAATAAAATACAATATTCCTTTCTTGAAAGAGACTATGATAAGCCTACTAGTAAAGAGTCATGTAGGATCTTTTAAAACCTTATATGATGTTGACTTTTAAATAATGTTCCAAGAATCCTAGCCATGTACAACTCATCCATAATTATCAAACCTTTTTTGTTCAGTTTGCTTTTTATACATACTGATTGAAGAAAGGTTGCAAATTTGAGTATTAAATAAATATAGACAAGTTCTAAAAAGCTGTTTTATATGTACACATGTAGAAGACATTCTACATGTAGAATCAATAAGAAATACATTCCTCAGTTGATGCTGAAGACTCCAGATAGAGATCATTACTCAGAGAATTCCATAGAAAGTGGAATATGCATTTCTCTAGAAGTAATGGAGTTTGAATATCATTTCGCTAGAAGCATTCATAACACTTCCCAGTTAATTGTTTGTCACATAGTGGCAGCACAGGGTTGAACTTGGAAAAAGCAGCAGTTAAGATGACAGCTTCTTCTTTTCCAGGCAATGGCAAATGTCCATTGGCTTAGTCATAGGCAAATGCTTGAGCATGAGAAAAATAACACTCTAGAAACACGTGCTATTTTAAAAATGAACCAAAATTCAGAAATGACTAAATCAGCAATGCAAATAATGGACCTTGGGAAAAGATTCAAGTATTACTAATAGTTACAAAATACATTTTTACTGTCTCCTTCATTTTGGCAGACAACAGCATCCAAACTATGCTGCCAGGTATTTTCCTTTATTATTAGACAGGGGCAAATTAATGAAAATACAATTGTGGGGTTGGGGGTAGGGGAGGGGTTACTTAAAGCCCTTTCATACAAACTTTTGAATCTAGGAAAATTAACCTCTTAATTGAAGAAGTACAAAAATAATCTAGAAAATAACTGTAAAAATCTCAAATATTTTCTCCACCCACCCACCCAGAAACTTGCAAAATAGCTCTATGCAAAAACTACAGATGAGAATTTTTTTCATTTAAAAAGATGAAAATCTAGGGTATCCCAGAGAAAGTTTTACTTCAATTTCAGTTACACTTATTTTGTTACTTTCAGTTTTCTTCTTCTTTAGTCCTGTCTTTCAGATTTAATTCTAGATTATGACATTTAAAATAGAGGAGAGGGAGTGGTTCTCTGACAACCACATACTTTTTTTAAGTTAGCCAAATCTGATTTATAGTTCCTTATGTAATACGTAACTCTGTTTTCAAGGCTTTATAATAAAATAAATTACAACAGTTCCAAGAATGAAGTATAAGTGCTATTGGAAGGAAAATTAGATCTGTTGCAAACTGGGTTTGAAAGAACTCAGGCAGTTGCTTGAAGCAGCAGAGAAGTTTATTTCTGAGAGCATGATACAAGCATAATATCAGCTGATATAGAGGTAGCCATTCTTAAATCTTTTCCAAGGTGTCTCTGTATAGGAGTTGCCTTTTTCGCCTATGCTATCATTGTCTCTTTTACTTGTTCCTCCTCCAATTTCATACCCAATAGATAATTATACAATTCCTTTATTGCCCTCTCTTTACAAGGGAACAGCACATTTGCAATTCAGGTATCCTACTGAGCTGTGATTTGTTGATTGCAAACAATGCACTTTTTGCTGAGGTGATGGAGGGAAGCTTTTTCTCTTCTGGATTAAAGAGATCTCAGGTTAGGTCAGATGAAGTTTGCATCCTATTACATTTAGTGTTTCCTGTTGCACTTTGAACTTCACCTAGAGCCTATTTTAATTTGTGATTTGACTTATAGAAGGAAGAATATGTGAAGGGAGGACTCAGTTTCTTTCCCACACTACAGTTTATTTGAACCATAAGCTCTGTGATTATGGACATAATTTTTCAAGCGTATTTGCTTATGCTTTAGAATCAGTTTGTTCTAACATGTGACTTGCTAACTCACTGTTGACCATTCAGCTTCCTATAGTCAACATTGAGTCTTATGTAATAAAGTTGTCATACAAGGCTTGGAATCTCAACAGATAATTGTGACCAATTTGCCATTGATGTTGGCCGATAATACAGCCAAATGTCTTCATATTTTCTAAACTACAAGAAGATATATTTTAAAATAAATATTTTACTTCTCTGAGTACAAAAGAGCAATATTTATGCATGAATGATGCATAGTAATGAATAATAATTTGATTTGAGAAGTTTGTATCTTCCTCAATACCTGAAGCAGTAAAAGGGGAAGGAGAGAGAGAGTGAGAGTGAGAAATGCTATATATTGAGTATGCAAGATTTGTAAACTTGATGCCAAATTGTTTTAGGATTTAGTCCTATATAAGACAATAATTTATTAGGACAATCCTCCAAAGTCCATTATCTAATGCAGTATCGGGTTCAAAGAATCAGGACCACACATTAAGTTCCAGTTAAGCTGATTTATTGCTCATGCCTATACATAAGAATCTAGCCAACTAATGGTCAGCACTAAAGTGGCAATAGATGAGAATTAAGGGAATTCAAGGGGGGAAGATTGATTGTGTATTTGTGGGACCGTAATGCTAATTCCTCTCTTCACTCCACCCCTAGGCTCTTCCTCCTCTTCTTCTATCTACAGGGATTCTCAGCCAGGGTTCCATAACTGATCATCAGGGATTACCTGGGGGATCATGTTTGTTTTAAAAAACCAGACACTAAACAAAACCCCTCCAACCTCCAACATTGAGTGCACCCACCAAAGCTGCACAGATCCAGGCAGAGTGGGGATTGTGCACATATGCAGGTGGGGAGGTAAGCAAATCATAAGTTGAGGAATGAGAAATGAAAGAACAGGAGTGAGCTGAGCTGAGGAGGGAGGCAGAGAGGAGGGAGGAGCAGCAGGTGGTGAGAGGGAGAGAGCCCTGGGGGCTTTGTTCTAAGTCTGTCCTTGCCATTGTGCACTTGCCTTTCTGCAGGCACAGTAGTCAAGGAGGGGGTTCTGTCCCAGGGCAAATTCAGGAGATCCAGAGCTGCGGTGGCCCGGCCACCAGTGGCAACAGGTGCACACCTGTCTTTTATTTTTAGCTTAATAATACTGTTAATGCATATATAAACTGTTACACATGAAACAAATATAATTTTGTAGCATTCTAGCCTTTGAATCTTTATGTACAGGGATTCTCCAAGGCTTGAAACATATTTCAAGGGTTCCTCCACAGTCAAAAGGTTGAGAAAAGGTGATCTAATGCATTCTGTTCTGCTATTAGAACTCATTCATGAACAACAACATGAATGGATACAAAATGTCTATGAGGTACCTTAGTTGTATTTTTTCCTATTCAGTTCCTTCCACTAGAAGAAAAGCTATATATTGTTAAGAATATATTTTGTGCAACTGAATTGATTTAGAAATGTTCTTATTTGGTTTTGTTTTTAAAGACAGTGCAAGATTATACCAACTCTCTGCTTTGGAAGCCAATGCAGAGTTGTTAAGGAAAATACAATAATATAGCTTTCAACCAGTAGAAAAATGACTTCATCTGTGGTCATCAGTTTAGGATTCATTTTGAATGAAAAATGGTACAGTTTCATTCTGCATTTATTCTAGTTTCAGTTACTGGATAGAATGAAGAACTTCATCCTTCAATTTATCTTTGGACTCATCTCAAGAATGATTATCTGTTCCTACTGAACTCTCATAAATATCAGGATCCCTGTTTGTTCAGGAATCTATTTATGTATCTGTATTTAATGCTGTAAAATGTAGGTGGAAATGATTGGGTTGCAGATAAAATTTGGTTTATATATCTTTTTAAAAAAATCCATTTTCAAACAAACTTATATAAATAAAAATAAACAGTTTACCACATATGAAAAAAGGAAAATAAAATGTAATACAATAAATAAGAACAAAAAAGACAAACTAATTACAAATATGATTCAAGTTCACTTGATTTTATAAGTCTTCAAAAGGAGAAACTAAATTTTCAACTATCATAAATCTGTCCAATTTTTCCCCCCAAAGAGAAAGATGTGATGTTTTCTGAATATATG